TACTCTTCTGCATTTGATTTCATTCCTAGATCTAAGTTGTTACAAAAACTGGAATCATTTGAATGCCCCAAACAGTTGTTGGCTTGGCTACCCAACCATTTTATCGATAGAGTACAAACCACTAGATTGGGGAAGGCTACACTGAAACCCTTAGTCAACATCTCTTTAGTTCTTCAAAGAGCTGTGCTATCCCGATACTTATTTGCCACTTATATTTGTGATATTTCCTGTGTTTCTCCCGCACGAATTTTGAAATATGCAGATGACATCGTGTTGTGCCGGCTCACTTCTTACCCTGATCCAAGTTCTTTCACCGGTAATCTTGATCAAATTCAGTTATTCTCCTCCTCATTGGGACTAACCCTGAACCCCATTAAATGTGTTGAGTGTTTATATAGTTTTGCTCGTTCCCCATATCCGACAGACCCACAGTGATTAATAATAATCCTTTATCCAGGGTGAACTCTGTCAAATATCTCGGTGTAACCATAGATAGCAATCTTCATTGGTCAACCCACATCCAGAAATGCATTGGTAAACTGCGGCACCTATCATTTCAAATCCGAAAGCTCAGGTAGTTTCGTGTATCCCAGTCAGTTATTTTTATCTTTGTTTATCCATGTGTTTTCCCCATCTTACCCTACTGTTCCGCAGTCATTTTTCCTGGCTTACTCAAACAGAATTTTAAAGTCTTACGCCTCGGTCGAACCATTATTAATCATGTCTCTTTTATTTCTGTGAATGAGTTAGCTTTAAAGCTTTCAGAGTATCATGTAACTTCCTGAGTGAAATTTCTGAGAGGATTCTCACAGATCCTGATCACGCAAAACTGACTCGGTGTCGTTCCCATAATTCAACACGCTCCCGATTCCCCCGAATTTCATCTCGAATTAATGCTTACCGCAATTCAACTATACAGTATCGTGCTCGTGTACTCATAAACAAATAGCGGACAATAAGTGAACTTAGTCTTAAACATGGGTTATAAAATATTTTCATGTCTGCAAAAATGTTTTCATAGTTTGCTATGTACATTGTGATGGTTAGCGTGTACGATTTTTTAACTAAAATGTTAGCTCCGGTGCTTGAAAAAGTTATACACAATAAAACAAACTTAAGTGGCTTATGGTGCTAGGATCCTGTATTCGCATTTCCCATCCGCAGCAGAAATTAATCCCTAAAGAGTTCATTGTACGCGCCAGATGCACTTTTTAACCAGCCTGCTTCAGCGTCCTCAATTCGAAAGCCCTCAGATTAAGTGATTGACGAGGCCTCAGAATTTTGTGGTAAACTGCTTAGAACGCTACTTGGCAATGAACTTAGGCGTATGACGAACAAGTTGTCCGAACATATGTTACGGGTCGAAAGAAGGGGTTGAGGGAGACAGAAGGGTATGGAAGACAAGGAGTTCAACGTCATATCCCACAGTCTGAATTCCTGAAGCACCAGTCTGGAAGCTCTTACGGAAGACAGGTCAGAGCACAATTTCCTCAACCGTTAGATCCACAGCAGAGCTTCTTCACATAACTGTACGTCAAGGCAAAACATATACCGAATCCATTTTACACTGTTATGGTGTACCGTGTTCAGTGTGTACGTTAGAGTTGACATGAAAACGGCCTTCAGGTGTTTAGATACTTTTTTCTGTCAGGAACATTTTTGAATCTTTTTCTCGTTGTGGCTGACCCAAAAATTAAAATCTAGATCTAAAGGTTATTAATTTGTGTTTCTGTAATGTTGGAATTGACTCGGAAAACGTTTATTCATCAAGACTATTTACGTCATCGCAATGCTTCATTTAGTCGTGATATATTCACGAAAAGACCTATGATAAGAATTGAACTGAGGCAACCAACAATAGTAAAACGTAGGAACCGCAATCGGGAGAGTATCAGATATTCCAAGCGTTAAGAAAAGGATTCAGGGGCAAGCCTGCCACTAGGCATGTCTATGGGTGATTGCAGGCAGGGTCTCTGTTTGCTTTGCTGACCAACCCTGGAATTGCATCCAGGAAGACGAGATTTTACAGCAATTTTTAGTTCCATCATACAAGTTATCCTTCTTTCACCGATTTTCTCACCGTTCTGCAACTAACCGTTCATCATTCAGGCACATACAAAATCTCTCAGTGGAATTCAGGTACTCCGTGTTTAGAACTTCAACCATGAACAGATTAGCTTTTTCCTGACTTTGGTTTCGATATTGATTTGAACTACGTCTGCTTCAAAACCACCATACAGATACAATGCTGCATCTATCCAAGCAAACTCGTTATTCGGGAAGCATTAGACTCTAGATCCACTCCAGTTATAGCTCCTCAGTATTATCTCACGTGGAAGGTGTTCATATTACCTTCGAGACACATCGGATATGACCAGAATTCCTGATACAAGCTTAATCGCATACTGCTCTCCATAACGCTCTGTCTGACACAACAAACTGAGGATTGTGCTCCAAGATACTATATTTTTCGGCTGTTGGAAATCATCTGATTGGATAGCGTATCCTACGGCGAATGTCGAAATAGAGGTAATAACCCGGAAAACGTTCGAAGTTGAAGAAGAACATATTTGAACTAAACAGATTCCGTCTTTCCGGAATGATTGAGGAGTTGAAAATGGAAACTGTAAATGATCTAACTGAATCGACAAATGGACATGATTGGTAAATGAAATGATGTTTAAAAAGTTGAATCTTGAGTGGGATTACTGAATTCTGATTGGATCGACAGCCATTGCAAACCACATTGAGTTGTAAGAAAAGCAAGATTCCCATAAACGCGATGTACCTTAAAGACACGACGCAATCTTTTCAATGTAATATTGACGAATTACAATGTAATCAAATAGTCATAACTTGTCGAACTGTAACTAATTAAGACGAATTGACTACGGCACCCGTTCATATTTAATGTAGGACGATTGGAGAGAGCTTAAAGAAGTTGATTCTACAATGGAAACGTAATTTGCTTCGTATAATATTTTTAAAAATAGGAAACCACCTCTACAAATCACTTCTATGACTGCTTACATCTGCGTTTTATGAATTCAACTCATTGCAGATGGAATATATTGTATTAAGCCAAAATTGGTAATCACTTCACTAAATGCATGATGGAATACATGTTATTCCAATATGCGTTATTTCGGTACTTAAATTGACGGACCCCGTAGTTTTACCGCTATTCCGAATAGCCTCGGGTCCTTTGAAATGCCACCGAATGTCTTCGTCTAATTGTTTGGATGAGCTTAACTAATGGGTTGCTCATGATGAGGTTTGTAGATTTGTTTTATTGATCCTGGAGGTTGAATAACATACACAGTCGGTGTGAAATTCCTTCGTTTGGAGCATTCAACACGGATGTACTTTGCACAGCACAGTTAGATTCCTTTATTCAGGACACATGCGTGACTGCTCCTTGACATCTTGGTCTGAACAGGTTTGACGGTGGATACTAGTCGAACATTCGAATTGGTCAATGTTCCACTTGGTTTTCATATGGGAAACGTTCATGTAGTATCGAGGAATGCAAAACCGGTTCATGTAAGAAACTCTTAACTGGAGGCATCGTATGCGACTTCATTCGTGGGGATCCGAGGTGTCAACGAATAAAAATGTAGCTGCTCTTCTTGAGAAGAGCACCTTGTAGAACTTTTCACGCTTCAGAACATTCGTCAAAACTACTTGGGTATCCACGGGAGTTTGGGGAACCAAGAAATAAATACGTTGTTCCGAAGTTCAGATTGCTTTCTGGTTAAATATTTCGGATAAGCCACTTTTGCCGGATTCAGGCAAAATAATGTGACCTTCATTTCTGAGAAACCCCTTGGTCAAGTGGCCATAAAAATAGGTGCACAATAACTCTTGGCTACCAAACCACTGCCATACAGATTCCATCTCAGAGTATCCTGTCGTGCTTCAGGCACAAAGCTTGTTGTGATCGGTCCAGTTTGTAGCACATGTGAATGTTGATGAGATGGATGACGAGTGGGAGGGGGGAGTGCATACACATTCCGCTTGACACAAACTTGTTCATGCTTGAATGAATTCAAATTATTGCAGTAATGATGATGATGATGATGATGATGATGATGGTGTGTGTGTGTGTGTGTGTGTGTGTGTGTGTGTGTGTGTGTGTGTGCAGATGGTCACGCTTCGTTTCTATTGGCAGGCGTTCTCTTTTATCTGTGACATGTCACAAACTGCGCAACAGTTTCATGACTCCGAATGTTTCCTTTCATTTGCTTTTCTACATTCTCTCACATTATTTATCCTCATCATGATTCTTTTTCTTTTAAAAATAACAATGTTACTTTTGTGTCGAATGGACGCTCTTTGAGATTCATAGGCTCCTACAAGTTATACTTTTATTGTTTAGAGCGGTTATTTTAATAGCAAACGTGTTTTTCAAACTGAAATATGTTACATGCATAAAAATATAATCATGGGGCGCTCCCTCTCTGGTCACATCTCTCAACACCAAGGATGCCGAGTTTTGTATCGCCTTTTTCGAGTGAATCTCATTTAAACTCAGTCACTTTTGTGAACAACAGATAATTCCGAAATACATCACAATAAATATTACGCTGTTTATATATAAATCAGTATTCAATCATAAAAAACGTAAACAAATGTTTCGGGAAAGGGAAAATAACCTCATGGGTTATCT